GGAAAGGAAAGGAAAGCAAAGGAAAGAAGGAAAGAAGGAAGGAAGAAAAGAAATAAGGAGAGGAAAGGAAAGGAAGCAAGAAAGGATGGATGGAAGGAAGGAATAAATTACCCCAAATTTAACCAAGAAAATCCACAGACAACAGCAACAAACAAAAATGAATGGTGGAATGGATGAATAAACAAGAGAAATGTGATGCCCGATTCTTACTATTATAACTAAAAAACCTCTACTTATCTCTACTTTTCTCATAACAGTAAATAGACATCTCGTCCTAATGTTGCTGTTACTTCTGATCACATTCTCAGCGCTGGGGACAGTTCAAGGTAAGAAAATATTTACCGCAGTACAAAAAAATAATTTTTATTTCTCACTCTATTAGTCTGTAATAATATAATCTACATATTTATTTCGCCTTCTCTCTTTGTATTTCGAGCAGAAATATTTCCCACGCCCTTCTTAGCTTCTCGTACTGAGATTACTGATGATGTGCAGAAAATATATATGTTATCGTTCGCAATATTTTTGAAGTGAGAACCACTTTTCTCAGTAGTAGAATGAATTCCCACTGAAATACCTTTTCGGTTTATGAAGCTTTAAAGACTTTAGGAGCGAGGTAGTTCAGTTGGTTAGTGGGCTTTCGGAACTAGAGGCCCACGATCTTATCCTCAGGATCTCTACGTCTCTTTCGACTTCTCTACGTAATCCCTGTAGCATCAGCTTTGAAAACTCTTAAAAAAAGAGCACTGATGGAGATAGGCTGGTAAAATGCGCATCGTTGGCATCCTGTGATACCATATCCTCGCAGATAAAGAAACCACCGACGTTAAACTAAATCAATAATTATAAGAGAAAGAGCTAATGTATGGTGTGTGTGGTTGTTGAAGTAGTTAAAACTTTCGAGTCGACAAGCACATTTGATACATTTATTTTACTCTAAAAATAAGGCTAACTTTAAATTGAATTTTTGTGTGTTTAATTTTAAATTGAATTTAAAAAAATTAAAAATCAAAATATAAAATGTAATTTATTTTTTTGAAAAGACTTCTTTTTTCAGTTGATTAAATTCCGAAAAGCTGAGTTGTTTATTTTGATTAAAGTGAACCAAAAACCCGGGGGGGGGGGTACTCCCCTATATTTGCTATACGGGTATGTGCCGCCCTATAGGGTATGGTTTTTCGGCTTTTGGGTCTGGGGTAGGGTATCATTTTTTGATATTTTGTCTGGGATAGGGTGTCATTTTATTCTGGGATAGGGTTAACGATTTGGTCCTTTTTGTCTGGAGAATAGGCTATGCTTTCTACCGACACAAAAACAATAAAAACGTTAGTAAATATTGATTGCAATCGATTGTAAAACCGTATTTTCCGTCTTTTAGTCTGGGATAGGGTGTACAATTCTTAGTTTTAGTCTGGGGTAGGGTATGTAAAATCAAAATTTTAGGTCTGGGATAGGGTCAGAGTTTTGAGGTCCTGGCGACACACCCCTACCCACAAAAAAAACGTGGACGCGTAGAAGATGCGGTTGCAGGAATTTAAAAATAGCTCTTAAACGTTTAAAGATTGTACCATTACTTTCATTTATATACTAAGTTTCAGGAAAAAAAGTAATTTGCTCCTAAAGCAAGTAAAGCGTAGGACTTAAAATCATATTCAATTATTTTACTAAATTGATCGTAATGGCAACTTTTTCTCTCTTTTTTTCAAATAGTATATTAAGTATTTCTAAAACCCTTTTACAAAAAAAAAAACCTTTGCTTAAACTAAACCTATGGATTGCCCAATTTATTAATCATAATTTTTACAATCATCCATGAACGATGAATTATGCTCTAAAACCTTCGCTCGGAATGACATGATGTATTTTTTGAATCAATTCTTTTGGGTAT